AAAAAAAGTTCATTTTTCCTATTAGCCTCCTCCCTCCTCCCCCCAACCCCGCCACCGCCGCCCCGCCATGGGTCTTCCCATCTGTACCTTTTCCAAAAGCCACATGGAAAGTTGACCTCTCACCTGTACAAAGAGGGGTGAAGGCCCAGGATGACCTGAGTGAGGATCTGAGCGTTCTCCCGAGACCTCCGACCCAGAGCCCAGAAGCCACTGCCATCACTGTACTGATCAAGTCCTAATGTCACTGAATGTGCTGATCCCAGGGGCCTAGGGGGCATCTCTAATTGAGAAGGGTGACTGGAGTTTTGACATTTTTACTAGAAGAATCTGTACTGTTATGAGTCGGGAGCAGATGCTTAGCTCACCTTATCCTTTGGTACGAGAGGGGACAAGCCAGCCATACTGCTGACTGATTTAATCCTGATGTTTCCAAAAAGAACAGAACGTTGCCGGCGGCTCCACAATGGTTTCTGCCGTCTCCTTGGAGCTTCTCAGAACTAAACTGTAAATCACATATCCCGGTGAAATCCATGTGCTCTCCGCTCCGGGGCATGAGGACTGTTTGTACTCAGCAGCAGTAAATCCTCCCAAGAGTGGATTTGGACTTTCAGGAGGTATGATGTTTGGTGTGTTGTCAGATAACAATGCACAGAGCCAACCGCAGTGCTTTGATCTCTAAACAATGTTAAACCTCACAAAGGCCCCCCCCCTTCCCCTGGGATTGTCTCCCAGGCTTCGGGGTGCAATAGATTGTTCTTAAAGTTCCAGAGTATGGAAGAATTTCCTGGCCACCAGCCCCAGAGCCATGTTGAAGCCCCTCTTAATATTGCTCCGATATATTCTCTCCATTTAAATAATCAATACTGTCAACGCTGGGGTTTCCAGAGACCAATATTAAAAGCACAGTTTATTTTTGTAGTAACAAAAGGGAATCCAAGCAGCAACCAAAAAGCAAAAAGAAGTGCCACTTATTATTACTCACAAAACACCATAATTGGCCGTTAGTGTGATCAGCAAATTACACTTACTCCACCTTCACTGAGCATGAGTCTGGGGGTGGCATGAGTTGTGTTAAGCCAACCAACTACTCCTTCTTCCCCTTCTCTATCATCCCCATGGCTTCACAAGATAGCGTGTAGCTTGGCTTACAGAAGACACGAACATGATGTTCTGTTTTAATTTATTTATTTAATTTTATTTTTGGCTGCGCTGGGTCTTCGGTGCTGCGTGCGGCCTTTCTCTAGTTGCGGGGAGCAGGGGCTACTCTTTGTTGTGCGCAGGCTTCTTGTTGCGGAGCACGGGCTCTAGGTGCACGGGCTTCAGTAGTTGTGGCACGCAGGCTCAGTAGTTGTGGCGCACGGGCTTAGTTGCCCCACGGCATGTGGGATCTTCCCAGGCCAGGGATCGAGCCGGTGTCTCCTGCATTGGCAGGCGGATTCTCAACCACTGCACCACCAGGGAAGTCCCAAACATGATGTTTTTTGAATGAATAAGTAAATAGCTAAAATACCACTGCACATCTATTAGATGACCCAAATCCAAACCACTGACAACACCAACTGCTGGCGAAAATGTGGAGCAAGAGGTACTCACACTCACTGCTGGTGGGATGCAAAATGGTGCAGCCACTTTGGAAGACGGTTTGGCAGATTCTTACAAAACTAAACATGCTTTTATCATACGGTCCAGCAACTGCACTCCTTGGCGTTTACCCAAAAAAGTTGAAACTTTATGTCCACACAAAAACTTGCCTACAGGTGTTTATAGCAGCTTTATTCATAATTGCCAAAACTTGGAAGTAACTAAGATGTCCTTTAGTAGGTGAATGGATCAATAAACTGTGGCACATCCAGATGGTGGAATATTATCAGTGCAAAAAAAAATAAAAACTATCAAGGCTTGAGAAGACATGGAGGAACCTGAAATGCACATTACTAAGTAAAAGAAACCAATCTGAAACGACTACATACTGTACGATTTCAACTCTATGACATTCTGGAAAAGGCAAAACTACGGAGAAAGTAAAAAGATCAGTAGTTACCAGGGGTTGGAGTAGGGAAATAGTTGAATAGGCATAACACAGAATTTTTAGGGCAGTGAAAATACTCTGTATAATACCATACATAATGAAAGATACCTGTCGTTATATATTTGTCCAAACCCATAGAATGTAAACTGTGGACTTAGCCTGATAATGATGTGTCAATGTGGGTTCATCGACTGCAATGCATGTGCCACCTGGTGCTGGACGTTGATATTGGGGAAGCTGTGGGAGGGACAGGGGAGCGGGGGGGGGGGCAGCATATGGGAACTCTGCAATTTCAGCTCAATTTTGCTGTGAGCCTAAACATGCTCTAAAAAATAAAATCTTATTTTTAAAAAAGGAAATGAGATAGTTAAAATAAGGCTAAATCAGAGCTTGTTTGCTCTGGTATTGGGCTGGGTCTTATAATGGCAGTATCTGGTTAATGGATTGGTGTTTGGGGTGACCAGAGGGAAATTCACAGGGCGAATGTGTAATATGGAAGGATATCCACGTCCCATAACGCATTCTCTGGGTCCCAGAGAAGGATAAGAGAGTGGCGATGGTTAGACTTAATGCATCCCCAAAGGACCCAAGGGTCACGTCCCCCTTGCATCTGGTAGGGCAATAGCAACATTGGAGTATAGGTTGGGGTTTTCAAGGGAGGCCTGAGAACTAGTGCCCCCTGATGTTGATTGAAGGGTACAAACCTGCAGTTATCAGATGAATAAGATCTGGGGATCTAACATACAGCATGGTGGTTATCGTTAATAATGTTGTGTTATAGACTTGAAAACTGTTCAGAGAATAAATCTAAAATCTTCTTGCCACAAAAAAGAAATGATAATTATGTGATGTGATGAAGGTGTTACCTAATGCTACAGCGGTAATCATTTTGTAATATATGTACACCAAATCAACACTTGGCACACATTAAACTTACACAATGATATATGTCAATTATATCTCAGTAAAGCAGGAACAAAAAGGAACTAGTACACCCTCTGCCTGCCCAAAGTCTGAATCAACTGATAAATAAGACAAGGGGCTAAGTAAGGCAGGTGGTAGTGAATATCACCTTCATTACCGTTAAAGCTGATACTGGAGAATGTGGCTTATATCTGAAGGCCCTGGGCCTCCTAATGTTGAACCACAGAATTAGAAAGACTTGGGCATCCAGGCACCTACAGCACAAGAAACTGCTAGCCTCTGGTTGTGGGAGCAGGGCCTGTACCACTAAGCTACCAGTACAAGGCCCAGAGCAGTTGAGAACACATGTTCTTTCCACCTGGCTGGCTTCCAAGAGTGAGAGAGGAGGTGGCAGGGCTAGACATGCCCAGTCACCCTTCTAGAATCATCAGTCAGGTAAGTCACTCCACCTCCGCAAAGTTGAGTGACTGAATGGTGGAGAGTGGCCAGGAACGTCCCTCTGTATGAAAGCACTTGTCTGGGGTGGGGGAAAAATAATTCCTTTCCTAAACTGCAAAATACAGACAAGATGATGAGAATAGCATGTCGCCTCCTGCAGAAATCCTAGAGGTTACATTTATCCCATTCTTCTTTGTTTCAGATATATTGAGCATTACTTGGAGGAGTTCTTAACATCTGCTAATAAGTACTTCATGGTTGGCCACAGAGTCATATTTTACATCATGGTGGATGATATCTCCAGGATGCCTTTGATAGAGCTGGGTCCTCTGCGTTCCTTCAAAGTGTTTGAGATCAGGCCTGAGAAGAGGTGGCAGGACATCAGCATGATGCGCATGAAGACCATCGGGGAGCACATTGTGGCCCACATCCAGCATGAGGTCGACTTCCTCTTCTGCATGGATGTGGACCAGGTCTTCCAAGACACCTTTGGGCTGGAGACCCTGGGTCAGTCAGTGGCTCAGCTGCAGGCCTGGTGGTACAAGGCAGATCCTGACGAGTTCACCTACGAGAGGCGGAAAGAGTCCGCAGCATACATTCCGTTTGGCCAGGGGGATTTTTATTACCATGCGGCCATTTTTGGGGGAACACCCACTCAGGTCCTAAACATCACCCAGGAGTGCTTCAGGGGAATCCTCCAGGACAAGAAAAATGACATAGAAGCCGAGTGGCATGATGAAAGCCATCTAAACAAGTATTTCCTTCTCAACAAACCCAGTAAAATCTTATCCCCAGAATACTGCTGGGATTATCATATAGGCCTGCCTTCAGATATTAAGCTTGTCAAGGTATCTTGGCAGACAAAAGAATATAGTTTGGTTAGAAATAACGTCTGACTTTAAATTGTGCCGGTAGGTTTCTGAATTTGAGAGAGTATTATTCTGGCTACTTCTTCAGAAAAGTAACACTTAATTTTAACTTAAAAAAAAATACTAACAAAACACCAACACAGCAAGTACATATTATTCCTCCTTGCAACTTCAAGCCTTGTAACATGGGAGAATGAACCTATGGTAATCAGATGTAAGTTCCTAGTGATTTCTTATCTTTTCTGGGTTGGGGGGGTTACACTATCAGCTAAACCCAAAAAAAAAAAAAAA